TCCTCCTTGCCCAATGCGTGAGCAGAAGGGCACCAAACCATATCTTTACAGTTGCCGGTAAAACATTATCTCATCGATCCCTTAAGGATCTTCCGTGATTGTCACGGCAGCATTGGCAAAAGCGAACTGCCCGAGCTCTCGTGTTTCTCAAACCCCAACAGTTCTCGAAGGTATGGTAGGTGTCCCCCGATGGACTGACGTACAAGGGATGCGTCCAGCTGGCAGGATCCGGCACTGCAACTGGTACCTCCCTATCTTGATAGCATATCAAGGGTCGAGCATCAATCTGGACCCCTGCCTCTCTTGTAGTAGATCGGGAACTCGTAGCCGACTGTCCAAGCGCAGTCGTAGATGATGAGAACGCCGTTGAGGTGGACGAAGGATCTGGTCCGGTCACTGTAGTAGACGCCTGAATCAAAGAGGTCCTTGTCGAGGGTGTAGGTCTCCTCGAAGTAGGTGTCGCAGGCCTCGGCGTCCTCGTGGTAGGTGTCGTCGGCCTTGGTGTCCTTGTAGTAGGTGAGGATGCCAACGGTGTTCTTGCTGTAGTCGAGGCGTCCACGGGTGTCCTCGCCGTAGGTGATGATGCCGGTGCTTCCGTGCTTCTTTCTGCCATCTGCAGCTCGATCTCCCTTTGAATCGTTTCCCGAAGACTCTTCAATCTCCGGGCTGACCTGGAAGGGCGGACCTCCCCAAAGCATCGGTCCAAACACCACCATAAAAACTCCCAAGCCGCCACAACAGCAATCCCAAGCAAAACCACCATGATATAGAGGTCAAAGGATGTAGTCAGTGACAAAGGATCGTCTTCTTGGGCCCGCGCTGTCTGGACCATCATACAGGCAACCAGCATCCGTGCCATAGTCACCTTTGAAACCTCTGCAACCACATCCACAAAGCCCCAAAGTCCAACCAGCTCTTCAAGTCGCTGTCGGGGAAAGGACTTCGTCAATAAGTCTGCCCATTGACTTTTTCCAGCCACAAACACCACCTCCACCTGATCTTTGTCCACCTGTTCCACAATGTAGGAAGCTCGCACACGTAGGTGGCGTGTACGCCACGACACCGAGGATGACGGTCGTGTAAAACTTATAGCCGCTTGATTATCGACCTTCAAGTAGATCTTCCCGACGTCCTTCATCATCTGGTTCAAGACCGATTCGATACTTTTGCCCATCACCAGCCCTTCTGTAGTAGCTGCCAGCAACTCACACTCTGCCGTCGACAGGCAAATAAAAGGTTGCTTTGAAGACCGCCAGCACACCGGAGCACCCAGCCACACCGCGACCATGCCAGAGTGGCTCTTCGAGCCCTCCGGTGCAAACGAGCTGTCTGTGTAGATGGTGAACTCGTCGTTCGTAGGCTTCAGGGCCAACGCGAGGTTCTTCGTCCTCTGCAAGTAGGAACGCAGTTTGGTTGCGATCGTCAGACATCGGGGAGCTGCCCTTGTAAGTAGTGAACCCATAGCACAGACAACGAATGAGATGTCTGGTCGGCTTCGTTGCGCGACCCAAAGTAGTTCTCCACAGGCCCGCTGGGCCTGTCTCACCTCCTCCTCGCTGCCTGGATCCTCACCTTCTTTGGCCTCGAAGGTCACGAGCTCCTTCGGGGACTGAATAGGTGATAAGTCCGTCGCCGGTGTAGCGTGGTGGCGGAGAATCTCGTCGATGTACGGTCTCTGGTGGATGAAGACCGCATCATAGTCTTCCGTCACTGCAATTTCGCAACCAAGGAATCGTATCTCGTGGTCCACATCCAACACCTCAAGCTCTGAAGCCTTCCACACGCTTCTTATCGTACTCGAGGTAGCTCGCACCAAACCGAGTGGGCCGCTGAGGAGGATGTCGTCGACATACACCAGAACTTCAGAACCAATCCGGCAGGTTCTGAGGACTCTTCTGCTCCCTCCTCATAAATCAACCACATGTTTGGCTCAGCTGTTCCTTGTCGTAGAACCCAGAACTTGTCTTGGTAGGGCACCCTCATCTTCCTCAGCTCGGTGTCTCTGAATGATGACCACAGACGGGGGCTTTGTCTCAACCCGTACATTCCACGAGTAAGCTGCCATCGCTCGCCAGGGTGTGCAAGTCCCAGCTGCACCAATGCAGCAGGGGGCCGAATGATGTAGACGATCTGACCAGGGCCTCCCGGAAGAGGGGTGAGCATGAACGCCCCGGTGATATCGGTGATCCCAGATCGCCACCGGCGTTTCGCCGTGTAGGTCAACGCACACCTCAAACTTTCCGCCGCTGCTCCTCCTGCAAATAAGTCACTTTGGTCTTCTGCAGCGTAGTTTCCACAGCACACGATACGCCTTCCGACGACAGAAAGCAGCTTCTCCTTGCTGGCCTGCATCCCCAGCGGGGGGTTTAACGGTATAAACGAGTTTGGAGGGCAACTCCTGGACAGTGAACTTCTCCTTCAGGGCCATCACCTCCGCCGTGGTAACCTTCTTGAAGCCTCGCTCCACCACCCCAAGCTCCTTTGTGATAGCTGGACGCCATTTCTCAATCACCGCCTTGGCCTCGGCCGGACTCACATTGTAAGTGTGACGAAGAGGAACTTCAGAAGTGGGGGCCTGTTCAATAATAGTTTCAATTCCCTCCACATACTCCGGCTCCAACTTGGCAACCTTGGGGAAATCATACAATCCCATTGAAGTCCAGTGCTCCACATTCATCTCCATGTCTCGCTGAAGTAGAGGATCACACTCCTCCTCAGCCAAGATAGCCGGCACTTTAGTCAAGACCTCGAGCTCGGGACCGGGATCATCAGACGAACACAGCTTCTTCAAGCACACCGATCGACACGGCCATACACCATCTTGTTCGTCTGGAGGGGGTGTCTCAGCATAAATTGCCCACTCCCACAACGTAGTCTCGCAATCATGGGTAGTGGCAACACCCACTTCATCATCCTCACCATGAGCTCCGCTCAATGGTGTCCCAGACGGGAAGGGTACTGCCTTTAGCACTGGTGTGGTTTCCAGCGCCCCACCACATCCTCAGGATCCGGTGGTGGGAGAGGGTGGCCTCGAACTTCACCATGTCCTCCTGCACCTTCAATTCGTGGAACCCTCATGGCCCCGATCACGAAGTACTTGAAGAACTTCCCGTCTGGCGACTTCCCAAAGCCCTTTAGCGGACCAACCACATCCACACTCAGACTGTACGCCATCGGGTGCATCGTAGTCCGATGCTGGTGCCCCGCTGCACTGTTCCTCACACAAACAGAACAGTCTCTCCTGAAGGGCTGGTGGTTCCTGGCGACATGCAATCTCCAGGCTGCATCGCTGCTCAGCTTAGCCACTCGCAACACACAATCTCCAGCAAACCTTTCAATGGAAACCTCAGACAGTCCCATCTCTTCATAGTAGGCTATAGAGTCCTTGCACAACGTCCACGGTGGCCACAGATTATCACCATACTTGGTCTGGTAGTGGTTCATGTCGTAGTTCCCCGCGAGGTCCTCCACATAGAGATGCGTAACACCTCCTCCCTGTAGCTCCCTCGCAGCCGACGACAAAGCGTGCACGAAGTGGACCATGCATCTGTGAGGTCCAGCGGCAACCTGCTCCAGAGGCTTCGCGGGAGCATCCCGGGACACGATTGTTCCCAGTCTCCCTTGGAGTGCGGCCCATTGAAGAACTCTCCAAACCTCCGGGAACTCATTCTCGAACAACAACCGGTTCACATTCACATACACCATGTCGCCAACAAAGGCCAGGTGCTTGGCAGCTTCATACGGCCGCTCCACTGCTGGAGGATCCCACCTCAGGATCTACGCCGAGGCACGTAGTAGACGTTTTCTTGCCCTTCGGTTGACCCTCAAATTCTTCAGGAGCTCCCAAATTCCTTCCTTTGGGGGCCGTGTAACCAATCGCTCTTTCAGCATCTCTTTGAAGTCGAAGAAGGGGGCGCGGTCCAGAGCCATACACGCCTCATCGGTGCATCCATTTTTGACATACTCAAGCAAGTAGGACCACCAGCTTGTCTTCATTGTTTGAAGCGTTTTGATTGAAGACTGCATTGTACTGTTCAGTTGAGGCAGCTGTTCGTCCTCGAGTTCCTTGATCAGCTTGTGGGCGACCTTCTCACTGACCTCCGGGCAGCCGTTGTTGAGCGTGAGGGGAAGGGTTGAACCATCCGGACCAATCAGTTCACACACCTGGGAAGTCCAGCTCAACTTGTAACCCAACGTACAAATCACCTTGCCCAAAGGAACGATAACTTGTGCCAACTGGTCGCCGGTCAACAGCGACCCTGAGCTAGTCTGCTTCATTGCTGCCATCGAATCCCCGGCAAGTTGCACGGACACATTCCGCGCTGAAGTCCACTCCTCCTCATTCTTGGGGGCCCGCAACACATGAGTAGCCCCTGAATCCAACAAAGCCGCCCTCGAGGTAGATCGTGTTGACGACTTAGGAGACATCCACCCACAAACCTTCTCCATCAAGGCCTTAAGCCTTAAACAGCGGCATATGCTGAACCTGGTTCAACATCTGGAGGGCCTTGGTATGGATCACACCATCATCCTCAAAGTTCACCGGGTATGAGCCCAAGTTCTACGTTTGTCATCGAGGGCCAGACTACGGCCGCACGACTCTCGAGTCGCTGCTTACTCCACTGATGGAGCCTGGAATGCGGGGAGCTGCTCAGCTACCAAATGGGGCGGTGACTGCGACTACTGATGATGGTGGGGCAGGAACCTTAGGCCCGTCCGCTGTGCAGAGTGTGGAGGCTGCTGTGGCAGCAGATGATGCGCAATCATGTCAGCTTCCTCAAAGATCTGGAACAATGGTTGCCGAACCTTCTGGAGGAAGGGAAGATACCGGACCGGTGGCGACGATGGCGAATTTTTCCGGCCCCGGGCGCGACGAAACGTTGCAGGGAGGGTCGATATTCCCTCAGTATATGCCGTCTCCTTTGCCAGGTCAGTCACCAGTGGCCTCGCAGACAGGGACAACTACAAGGGCGGCAGCTTGGCTTTCACGACTGGGAGATTACTTGCAGAGGACTGTGGAGGTCACTTCGTGGACTACCCATGGTTCCCCTAATCATGCCGCCCAGTTGCCGTTGCAGAATGTGTTACCTGGGCAAGGACGACCAGGACCTTCGCCTGCGTCGAGAATGTCCCCGGCCGGTGCAGATCATCGTCCTCCTTCGTCCAACGGATCCGCAGGAGTGTCACCAGAACTGGTACAAGCTGAAGTGGCAAGACAGTTGGAAGCAGCTATGGGAGAAATGCAGGATCAGCTTCGGAAGGAGCGCGAGCGGTCCGATGAAGCTGTCAAGGAAGCCCAAGCTTTGAGGCGTCAGCTGGATGTACATGAGATGAGGGCGGTGCTCGCCCCGCGTCCTCCGGAGACTTCAGGTGCACTTTTATCTCCGCCTGGCCTTGCAGACGTGGTGGAGCCGAGCCCCGGTTTACACAGGAGTTACCTCGAATCACCCTCCTTCGGTCCCAGCGCTGGCAGGCTATCCTGGAGCGCAAGCTACCGTATGTCCAGAAGATGGTTATGCTCAAGATCGGAGTTGTCAAGGGCGAGCTGGGGTACCTTCGGGAGTTTCTCAGGGAATAGAATATAATATTCCGAGCGCCGGAGTTTCAGGAGTTACCGCGAATCACCCTCCTTCTGGTCCTTCAGTGTCGTTACCTTTGCCGAGGATGCGTACCAGGTCACAATCTCCAGGCCCGAAGGCGTTCTTCCAAGGTCTCTTTGGCATGGGTGGCAGTAGCAAGCAAGATGGAGCTCAGGTTGGTCAAGCTACAGTTGCAGGTGGGCCATCTACTACAGGGGCGAGTTCAGTGCAGCCTAAAGCAAGCCTTGGGTTACCGACGACTACTACTACACCAGGGGATAACTTGTTGGCTACAATGGCACGGGGCATTGAGGCTCTTCTTCAACAACAGCAGCAGCAGGGACCTCGAGCCGATCGTCCCGAAACCGTAAAGCCTGGAATCACTGACCTACCTCGACTTCCAGAATACCAGCCCACAACTGGCAGTATCGACCTCCTGAACTGGCTTACGCATATTCAACCGATAATGCAGGACTTGTCGGACACAAGCTACGCCTGGTGGGAAGGAACGCTTCAGGATGCGCTCTCGTGGTACACCAAGTACAGTGCAGCATCTCCGCTTGAGCGACTGCAGCTCAAGCCCTCATCCTCTCAGGAGCTGCATCGTCCAGAATGGGCACGTGGGGAGAGGAGGGCTACGGCGATGATGCTTTCGGCTGTGCCTCAGGCCGTACGTGAAGAGGTCATTGCCATGGGGAGTGTGACGTCGTTGGCTTTGTTGTGCAAGCTTTATGCTGTGTATCAACCTGGGAATTTGCAGGAGAGGGCCTTGGTCTTACAACGATTAGAACGACCAGAAGAATGCGACACCGCTTTGCAGGCGGTGGAGGCTCTGAGGAAGTGGACGCTGTGGAGGCGCCGCGCTTCATCCATAGGGATAGCGGAGCCAGATGCCTCGGTGTTGGTGCAGGGTTTGGACCGCATCACCACCAAGGTGGTGAAGGCGAACAGCGAGCTCAGTTTCAGAGTCAGCCTTATACGGAGCACCTTGCAGGTGGATGTGTGCCCAAGCTCCCAGTCGGTGACTACTTTTCTTCAGCATCTTCAAGCGGAGATGGAGCAGCAGGCACGGTTGAGTGTCACGAAGGCACCTGCACCAGTGAGCCCTGGGATGAGAGCTGTTACCCCGGTGGATGGCCACCGCCCCCCCCGAAGGGAGGTACCAATGGGCTTTGCCGCTTCTTCCAGGGAGAGAAGGGATGCCGGAGGGGAAACACATGTAAGTTTCCTCACACCTGGAGTTTGCTGGAAAAAGGGGCCAGATCAAAGAAGTGTTTGGCATGCGGAGCTACGGGCCACAAGGTCAAGGAGTGTCGGGCCCCAGGAGGAGGAGCGGCGAGATCATCGAGGTCAGCAATGCCTGGAATGGGCGAAACAGGCTCTACGTCCCCTACAGCATCCTCACCGGAGGCGCAGCGGTGTTGAAGCACTGGATCTGCAGGGGCACCGGGTGTCGGAGGATTATATGCCATGGCGGCAAAGCGAATTGAAAGAACGGTCTTTTCTCAGCAAGCGAACATGTGACGAGTGATGCTTCGAGCTATGACTACTGTGCTCGGCACTAGCATCCTTTGAACGCCTTTTCTGCATCCTTCAGAGCCACCAAAGCTCTGGACGTCACAGCTGTAGCTTCCGGCAACACACAGTTTCAACAC